ACGTTCTCGGCCGGCTAGGTGTATTTTATTACTCCTTTTCCCCAGAAGATGGTAGGTCTGAGGGTTGTATAAGGATATACCGCCTATACTCGGACGTCAGAGCCTCGTTTGTGTAAACAGGGTGCACCACGTGAAGGTGAGGTTGACTTTTGGGTAAGCTAGGCTATATGTATCGCTTCAATACCCCTTGCACCCCTACAACCAAACCTAGTTTTATAAAAACTGGCAAAGACATTAATAATTTTTTTTAACCATACATATTAGTGCAAACGATTGTTTTCACTTTAAAATACAAGATATATATAGTCACAAAAGTTTGGGAGAACAATTGTATATAAGAGACACATAAACATTTTTTTGCTGCCAAATACTATATTTAGTAGCAAAAAAATGTGTATGTAGAAAAATAAAAAAATGGCCAAAGTTGGCCAAGACTTTATATATATCACAAGGTAGATTAAGCCTTTCTAATAACGAAACTAATTTAACATCTTGCCCCAGCTTGCCCCCCTCTAAAAATTTCCATTTAATATATTACTAATACATGTTATACTAAAATCAAAAACCTTTTCAATTCCAATAAATTAATTTAAAATTTTTAGAGTCAAATTATCTTTATTTTTTTATAAATTTATTAATATTTAATTATTAATTGGATAAATACAAAATGACGCTAAAATCAAAAACAGATACAGGGTGCTACAAATATATGGAAAACTTATAAACTATTGGAAAAAGAAGAGGGTTAAGGTGCAGTGTTGAGGTTTTTTGTTTGTAATAAAAATATTCTAGTGCGTTGATTTACTGTTATATTCTTTGCTTATAATAAAGTTATTGTACAGGGTGTCCCACTAAGAATAGCTCTCGGCTATATCTCGGAAAGTATTAGCCGTGAGGCTTGCGGAAAAAATATTCATAACTAAAGAGACCATGAGAAAATGCTGGAAATTATTTTCAAATTTGTAGAATGGCCGCTAGAGGGCGCAACTGCTATAAAAATAAGAAAATGGAGTTTTTACACAACTTTGCCTAGATAAGGGGTACTATAAATAATAGCTTCATAATCTTCAGTAAATTCTGAATATTTTTTGTTAGAACCATTTTCCCCTATCTGCCAAAATAAAGTGGTGGGGAAAGGTTAGATCTGTTTTTATTTAAGTATTAATAATTCCGGACTGGATGGACGGAATCCAACTAACTGGAGCTCGTTTAAAATACCGTTTCTTACTCTATATTATACCATATAAACAATAACTGTAAGCTTTTGAACGTAGATGCTAGGGGGCGCTGTCTTACAAATTAACAAACATTGTGCGTTTTTTCAAAAAAAAATGCGATGGTATATGTCATTTTAGCTGATAATAAAGAGTAATGAAAGCTTAAAAAGTCAGTGAAAACCGCATCTTGATATCTTCTTTCAAATCGAAGATATTAGCAAAGTTATATTAAATAGGAAAATATATGTAAGCCCTTAATTACCATATTTTTATAACACGGTATCAGTAGTTTTAGATTTCAGTGGTAAAATCTAAAGCTATTTCTTTTTAAAAAGATCAAAACTAAAACATTCCACGACAGTTTGGCAAAGTTTATAAGCATTTAAAACTTGTAAGATTTTTCCAAAACGTACTATATTTTTAGGTCACCCTGTAGATGGTTTGTAACGAGCCAACCACTTTCTTTCATTAAAGTTTAAAATTGTTCTGTTTATACATTATTACGGTATATAAAAATCATTTTTTCGTCTTTTGGATTAAAAGTGTTGAGAAGAAAACCTCATGTCCAACAGCTCCCATAAGCTCGTTCCACTGTGCGTCGTAGCGGGCTTGCGTCAGACGACGATGTTAAGCAACGTTGCCGTAGTTACAACAATTTAAAATTCAAGACATTCGAAGCAATCAAATTCGTATTAAATTTTAAAAATAAAACAGAGAAACATGAAAGGAAACAAATAAAACAAAAATGAATTGATTATTCGTCGGGCTGTTTTCGATATATTGAATTCTGAATTACGATAAACATTTTAGAAATTTCTTTTTTGTGACCTTATCAATAATCAATTAATTTGTGTTTTGTTTGTTTCCTTTCATGTTTTTCTGTTTTATTTTTAAAATTTAATAAGAATTTGATTGCTTCGAGTGTCTTGAATTTGAAATTGTTGAAACTACGGCAACCTCGCATGACGCAAGCTCGACACGCCGGCGCGACAAAGGAGCAGTGAGCAGTTAGCAACCAGTGATGCGCGGCTGTCTTGGCCAACGGTTGAGCTGTCGATGTAATTGTCGAAATACATCGAAAAAATAGCGAAAAAACAAAATACGTATTTAAAATTGTTGAGTGAAACATGTATTTTCTTAGATTGAAAGTAGTTCGTAAAGTAGCGGTAAGAGACAATAATTCTCAACATTTATTCATTCAGAAAGGTATTCAAAGTAATGTGTAATGTGTGCTTTTCAAGGTGTTTTGTAAATCAGTGGTTCAAATTGTGATGAAGCCTATATGAAAATAATGTGTTAAGTTAAAAATGGAGACTGTTATTTTAGAAGTTTTTATAATAGCATGTACAAGTAAAGCAGCACAATGAAGTGTATTTTAGTTAAGTGTGTATCGAAAAAGAGAACTGTCGCAGTTACATCGATCTGTCATAAGTATCTTTTTTAATGTTGGGTAAGTTGTTTAATTGAACTTTTTTAACTTTTAAACATTTAACTTTTAATTTATTTTATGTAATAATATCACAATTTTAAAAATGTAATGCATCTCTGCAAACTCCTCAGGTGTTGTGATTTTATGACTTACTTTTAAACATATACATTTTGTCCGTATGGCAACACAGTGCGTCGAATTAACTGAAATCCGGGCTTGATCCGGGTAATTGGATGTAGTTGGCAATATCTGCCGGCGGTTCTCAAAATGTTGCGATTATTTTTTAAATTTTCAAAGTTAAATAACTCGGTTATTTCCAATTAATTTTAAAAATGGTAAAAAGAAAATATGTTTATTTTGACCAGATCTACCACCCCATAAAATATTTGCACTCATTTCTGGGACACCCTGTATATCCGCAAATAGATCCATGGGGCACAAGTCAGGCGGCCTCGATAGGATGGGATCTTGGTTAGCTAATTCAATTATTCTTGAAATTGGCTGCAAAAATTTCCTGATAACTTCAGCGTTCAGAGGCGGTGCGTCGTCTTGGTGGAAAAATATGTTTTCGAGTTCCATTAAGGGCATATCATCAATAAGGGGTCCAAAGCCTACTAGTTAAAAGTGACGAACTTTTAAAAATTCTGTACTTCGAAGGGGATTATAACAAAATATCAAGTGTGCTATATTTTTGGAAAGGTAATTTTAAATTCTTTTCAATTAATTAAAAATATAGAGGGTATCCCTAATAAAAATCAATTTTTCTGTTGATAATTCCTAAATTATTAATTTTAAAAAAATTATACTTAAACCATTAAATTCTACGTAAAAAGGTGCTTTGGAAATGTTTTCATAGAAATACAAAATTTTCCATAGTAAAAAAGTTACAACGATTTGTTAAAAATGCACATTTTTGAAAAACACCCCGTAACTCCGAAACGGTAACAGATATTGATGTGTGGTTTACACCATCATGTTTTTGACAAAAATTGAGCTCCAGACACTGATATTAGTTTTCGTCTATCTCCTATAGAAAAGGGCGTTTCCATTTAAAAGCGTCGAATTTGACCCACCCTGTACATAGCTATACATACAGGTTGTTAATTTGTTTATTACTCGCGCCAAGCTTTATGGTTGAAATATGGCAACCTCGGCCTGCTCGTCGGGAGACAACGAGACAGGACGAGTCGGCAGCTCTTAGCCAGAAAATAGAAATCAACCAGAAGGTTGACTCTCAAAATGCGCGCGAAACGGTGGCTAACCTAAAAATTCCTTTATGAGCGGGAACACCTGTCAATGTAGCGAATGTAGCGGCGTTACCGGTTTAGTCAGGGCAGGTCAGGGTTTAGTTGAATTCTGACGATCGCATAATAGGAATATATCACATAAATACGAATTTTAAAAGCGGAACAAATAAAAATAAATTATTAATAAGGAGAAATAAATAGATATTAAACAAATGCATAGATTGTTTTATTTTAAATACTGTATTAACCCATCTTAACACAATACTTATTACCTACCTACCTAATCATAATTTTATTATTATAATGAGCCCGATTTATCTGGGTAACATTGTGTTCAAGCGAAACTTTCCCAGCATTAAAAAAAACATTTTTATTTTGATAATGTGTACCCAAAACGCAGAACGTGCCTCTAACAAATAAATTCAGGATTGTAAACTGTTACACTTTAGAACGTACCTATAGCAACGCAATTTGCGTAATTTCCCAGACCATAAAAACTTCTAAGAAAGGTGTAGGGATGACCACGGGTTTTTGCCAACCAGTAAAACGCAGCTCAAGGGTTCAAGTAGAAAGTTGACCTTTAATTAATTGGTTTAGTTTATTTTTAAAATTCACGATCTCTACCCATTTCCAAATTTTTGGCTACGCATATATTATCTGCCTACCCACTAATTGCAAAAAAACCGCTGCATAAAAATTACATGTGGTGGTATCTATACAATATAAACTTTACCTTTCGAAATAACGTTTTACGTTCAGTCTGTAATCACATACCTATCAGATAAGAAAAATACTTATTCTATATAACCCTGACAACAGCCTGCGAAAGCGTTTTAATCCGGCCCTGAGAGTTACCCGCTGCTAATATGGCGTCGCGATTCGTGAAACGTCATCAAATTCGGCAGAGAAGGCGTTCTGGTTGATTTCTATTTTGTGTCTTAGCTTAGTACTCATTTGGAATGTAGGCAGTGTGACCATTCTGTTCCCCAATAAGTAACTGTCCAATTAACAAACTGTATAGAAACGAGTTGGACAAAATTCAATAAATCTTTTGACTTTTTTTTATTACCAAAAAATAATAACATAAATATATAAAAATGTACTTACCATGAGCTTGCTGAAGGATCATGAACTAATGATACGGGCAAAGTCTCATGCTCCCACTCTAAATCCAATGAATTTTCTGGAGTTGAAGTATTTGTTCTACCGAGAAGAGCCCCTGCATCTAAACTCTGCAGCTGGATGTCTCGGTTATTAAAGGAACTAAAACATAAATAGTCATGTTTTTACAAACTTATTTCTGCTGCTGTGCATTTTATTTTACCCTTGTGATAAAGCTCGTTGTCTTTCTGATAACCTACTATATGAATGATTAGGATTTAACATATTTTCAACCATGCTAGTGTTTTGCTTCTAAAAATAATATTTTTAAATAAATTAAGTAATAAATGCAAGAAATTGATTGTACTTTAACCCTACCTTTTGTTTTTTCTTATGTCTCTCAAGAAGTCTCGTAAAAAAACTCCTAAAATAAACAAATTAGGAATAAAAATAATTTCATAATAATATTTTGCATTATCTGTAGCTTACCTAGTTTCTGTGGCTCCGCAAGCAGACTCCTAGAATGAAATATTTTAAATAATATTATACCTAAATTTAATTTTAAATACAAGTACCTCCTCAATGAGAAAGGTAAAATCGGTATTTGATTTGGATAGCATGCTAAAATTACAAAGAGGCCCTGTTTTACCACATGTCGGCCAACAGTTAACGCAACAATTTCCCATGGTTTTAGCAGCCCTGAAAGGACTGCATCGATATTAACCCCCATAGGGCTCCAAAATAATTTTTAAATCCGTGATTCCTGGTAAAATAGTCTATTGAGTAGGTTTCTTGGTATCAGTGACAAATAGTTTTATAAATTATTTAGCTGAGATAAAGTAAGATAAACCAGCCAATAACTAACAAAATAAGCTTTATTTTGAAAATCCTAACATAAAACAATGCCTTCTATTAAAAGATCAGCCTACGGGCGGACTTTTGTTTACTTCATCAGCTGTACATACTTAGATATTGGGTTAGATTCCGTTTCATATTTTGTCGGTTGATTTTTGGTTTTAACTCTTTGATTTTTGGTATTATTTATTATAGTAGTGCAAAAAACTAATTATTTTGGTGTTGAAGTGACATAAACTACTACCAGATATATGGTCACTCTCGATTTCGTATAAAAAAATAGAAATTTTAAAAATTACACGTTGTGCAAGTGATTTAACCTAAAAGTGCCCATACATTTTTTACCTACTTATCGTGATTTTTGTGTGTGTTTTTTAAGACTCTAACAATTCATCAATAAAGCTTAAGTGGAGTGTGTTATTGGTGCTATGCCTCATCTTTGTTGTTCCTGGTGGAAAGGATAGTTACTAAGGATAGTTATTATACTAGGCAGCCTAAAGTGTCCGGAAGAGCAAGAAAAGTGGGTACGAGTTATAAATCAAGAGAATTTTATTGAAAATATCTTTAATAAATTTAAAATAATATTCTCCCATGATGGTATTAATGAAAACTGGACAATTATGTTTATTTTATTCATATTGTGGAATCTCCACTCCAAGTGTTGCTGGTTCAGCTTCGATAGATTCAAACACGTAAGTAGGTATTATGATCTAGGGAAAAATAAAGAATATATGTATTAGAGATCATGAAAAGATTATTATTTTGAGTTCAAATTTTAAAAAAGATTTTTGTAAAGACAAGACTGATACAGTTTAAAAAGAAGAATGTGTTTTTGTTTGATAATATATAATGTATGTTAAGCATAACATATATTTGTTCAGTAATTTTAATGAATAGTATTGATTATTTATAATACCAAATTAATATCAAATATTTAAGTGATGGCCGAATACAATATGAATAAAATAACAATAAAATTGGTATATTTGCATAATACAAAATTAAGTTTTAAGAATAAAGGTGTTACTAAAAATACTAAGAAATTCATATTTCTTTGTTTTAATTGGTCTAATGTTATTTACATTTTACGTAAGAATTATACCGTATCATCGAAAAAAATCGGCGTCTAGTTGGCTTGGAAATGAACATCGATGACATTCCCTAAATAACTGTACACATAAAATAATTAACTAGAATTTTACAATCTTGGAAAATTTGATATTCTTGAACCTTGATTCTAAATATTCTAAATTTTTTGATTTTCTTGGAATTTAGGTTCGGGAAAAACGCTGATTGATTTTTCATTTGGTTTTTCATTATTTTTATTTGGTTTAAAAAAAAACGGTTCGGCTAACATTATAGCCTCCATCAGTGTTGTGTCATATGAAAAAAATAGTGTCGAATATAATCCAAAAAATTGCATATAAAATATTCACACTATGCACATAATGTTTACTGCGTACTCCATAGTCAATGTAGATAATTTTAGTGTTAAGAATAATAATTTTAAAAAATATGTGGTCATCTTTTGATAAGTTTATATTAGTTTATTAATTGCAGTAAACATTATGAGGTGTGAATTATATTGTATATGTAATTTTTTGGATTATATTCGACACTATTTTTCTCATATGACACAACACTGTGAAGGCTATAGTTAGCCGAAACGTTTTTTTTAAAACCAAATAAAAATAATGAAAACCCAAATGAAAACTTAATCAGCGTTTTTCCCGAACCTAAAAATCCCAAGAAAATCAAAAATTTTAGAGTAATTTAACATATAAAATGCCAACGATCTTCATTTCATAGCCATCGCTGACGCCTTTTTTTAGATAATATTGTATTATTTGTAAATATAATTTTTCGAACATTGATACTTGCAAAATATACGTATATAAATTTTGTGAATGCAAATAATAATACATCACTATTAGTAGATATTAAACGTTTTTTGTTAAATTAGATCGATTTTCAAACCCCAAAATTTAAAATATATTTACATTTTACCCATTATCTTATGTACCTATACATTATTTGTACATTGTAAAACATTTGCTGCATTTGTATGGTTCATAGTTTATTTGCCAAAGTATTTATTACTATAAATAGGTATATATGTTGTAGTTATTAACTGTATATTATGTATATTTCATTTAAACTATATCATTTTTAAAATACAAACCAAAAATCTGAGGAATAATTATGTTTTCCATGTATTCTACAACATATTTATTAATCCGTTATATCTAACTAGCGTGACGTCATAAATCTCGTCCGTTGGCTGATCTTTTAATAGAAGGCACTGCATAAAATAAAAAATTGTTGACATTTCCGTTTCTTTCTTTATGATTTACAGGATTGCCAACCATTGACATTGCCAACAGGGTTCGGAACTAGTTAATTAAGACGTAATTTACCTGATTAACTACGTGTAGTTTTTCTTCAAAAACTACGTCTTTTCCCGTTCATTAACTACATGAAAACTACGTTAATAAACTATGTATAGATATTATGAATAATTTTGCTTTGTATGAGGGGTCTAAATAATATGATGTGTGAATATTATACTTAAAGCCATATTTCTTCTGTTTTCTTAAATAAATTGTGTTTTCTTAAAGCTTCAACTTATTATAACCTCAACTCAAACCTTTAATTTTTTGAAAGTTCCATACATAGGTTACATAAACTACACCCTCTAAATAAACTACATTAACTATATGTAATGTAGTTTATGTAGTTTTTAAAAGTAACATGTAGTTTTCCGAACCCTGGTTATAATTAGACGTAATTTACCTGATTAACTACGTGTAGTTTCTCTTCAAAAACTACGTCTTTTCCCATTCATTAACTACATGAAAACTACGTTAATAAACTATGTATTGGATAAAGGTGTGGACAAAGAGTAGACAAGACAAGAGACGACAGTGAACAAAGAAGTCGAATTTCGCGAGAGAGACGCAGATATATTAAAATTTAAAGGTCCCATGAAGTCCCATTTTGTTTGTTGCCAAGTATATTTCTTTGAAAAATAAACAAGATTTTCTGAAAATAAATTAATAATATAAGAAGGATATAAGTAACGTATGTTAATACGGAAATGTAAATTTTTAGTTTAGGTTGGTTTAGGTTCTTTTTTTGCAATGTACTGATAATCAGGGTTCGGAAAACTACATGTTACTTTTAAAAACTACATAAACTACATTACATGTAGTTAATGTAATTTATGTAGAGGGTGTAGTTTATGTAACCTATGTATGTAACTTTCAAATGTCAAAGGTTTGAGGTGAGGTTATAATAAGTTGAAGCTTTAAAAACAAGAGAACAGGAGAAATATTTAAATATAAATATTTACACCATATTATCTCTATTACACCTCATACAAAGGAAAATTATTCATAATATCAATACATAGTTTATTAACGTAGTTTTCATGTAGTTAATGAACGAGAAAAGACGTAGTTTTTGAAGAAAAACTACACGTAGTTAATCAGGTAAATTACGTCTTAATTAACTACTTCCGAACCCTGCTGATAATATCAAAGAAACAGAATGACTAAGTTGATCGATTTCAAAGATAAACAGATAAAATCTGAAAATCTGACAACGGCGTATTTTATTTATTCTAACCTATGATTTTAGGACGCTAATCAGCTGTGCTAATCAGGCTTAAACATAAACAAATCTGATTAGTTGTTTTCTTGCATTTTTGCCTTTTTCAAGTGTGTTTTCAGAGTTTTTCGATATATTATCGTTTTGAGAGTTTTTAAGGTTTAATTTTAGTATCGTTTTTGTTGCGTACTAATTTGTAATTATTGTTAAAAATGAATACTGAACAGGACACGAGTAGAGCAGGAAAAGACGAGCTGGTGGCAATGTGTGTGCTTATAAAGACTGCAAAAATAGGTCTTATTCTTCGACAAACATAATATTTCACTCTTTTCCAAAGGATCCTGAAAAGTATTTTTATAGAAATATACTATATAATTATGTTATTAAACTAAATGTAATCCATAGATCGAAGACATGGTTAGAAGCTTGTAATATATTTTACAAAAAATTGAGCCACTCTATTTTTTTTGTACATAAACTCCACATTGTGATATTACACTTGTTGAAGTCCATATGTAAAAAAAAATAAACGTAAATAAAACATTTCTTACAAATCGACTTGGTCACTTTATCTTGTTTACCAACGATATACAAAATATTGCTTGGTATTATTATCTTTATTCCCCGACAAATATGTTTCTAATTATAATTTATTTTATATAATATTTAGAAAATTCATTTTTTCTTTCGTTTCTATTTACTTCTTTACCCATACAGTAACTATTTATAAGCTATACAGGCAAGTTTTAATAATAGTCTATTTCAAATTTCCCGCGAAAAAATTACGAAAATTTAAAGGGACAAGCGAGACGAGGTCACTCTCCCCACCACTCAAACATGAAAGATACCACGCGAACTGTCGTCTCTTGTCTTATCTACTCTTTGGTGTGGATCCGGTGGGCCCGGTGGGTCACCTTGAAGCCCAAATTTGCTGCATACTACGCAAGCGCACATCGTCGATGTTGCCAAATTGCAGTTCATTTTCGAATTATTTGATATGATTATTTGCAGTTGACATTTTTTTTGAGTGTTAATAATAATACAAATTCTATAATTAATTTTATAATTTCAGGGTAAAGGTGTGGATCCGGTGGCTGACCTTGAAGCCCATATTTGCTGCATTTGATCATCGATACGACGCAAGCGCACATCGTCGATGTTGCCAAATTGCAGTTTATTTTCGAATTATTTGCAGTTGAAATTTTTTTTGAGTGTTAATCAATAATAATACAAATTCTATAATTAATTTTATAATTTCACATTTATCTTGATATCCAAAATTAAGGTAAGAAGGATAATAAAGACTGTGTAAATGAAAGTATTATGAATATATAAAATTGTAATAATAATAACATTTATTTATATATTTACATTAGAATTAAAAATTATCATGTACGGATTTTTCTTAATGGTTTTAAACTTATTAGAATTATTTTATTTCTGAACATT